TTTTTTTTTTTTTTTTTTTTTTAAGGGGGGGGGGGGGTAACCCCCGACATCCGACCCCCCCCCAGCCCATCAACCCCCTCAACACCTCTTCGGAAGGCTGTACATGGAGGGCCCAAAGTCCATACGTACGGCTCGTACTGGGGGCCGGGGCCCGTACGTACGGTCGTACGGGAGCACGTACGGCCCGTATTCGTACGGCCGTATACACTGCACCCTTGCTGGCAACTGTGGTGGTGACATCACCCTTTCCCGATTCGTCGCCCGCACTTCCCTGTCCCTCGCTTCTCAGAGGATCCATTTCTCCATTGTGTCGCCATCGAACAAAATAAGAGTGTGGTCTTGGTTTTTTTGTCTTCACAAGACTCTTTCTCCCTGTCCACCCCCCTGTCCCTTCTTTGTAACCCCAACGTAAGTACCCTTGACCTGGGCAGACATCTGTTCTCACTGCAGAGCGAGATCTCGGAACTGTTGGTAGTTAGCCTCCGCTACTAGTTGGTCACAAATTGGTTTTGGCTATGCACGTGAGTAGATGTACAAAACGTGGTCGTCGTGTATGTTGAGGTTGGGTACCTGCAACAAACGATCTACCTCATGAGAAAACGCGTCAACGGATGTCTAGTGGCGCTGAGACAATGAAGTCAGTTGGTCGAACGCTTTGTCTGCGGTGGTATTATCTAGGAATGATTCTTTAATTTTCATGACGAATTACCTCAATCATGGCTCAATGTCAGTGTTGTTGCCCAATCCCCGATAAACTCAAACCCAACAGCATTTGCTTCAGAGAGTACCCATGCCTTGGAATCTTCGCCAAGACATGAGGTGGTGCATGCTACCTGGCTTTCTTCTTCAACTGGGGCCGTCGAGCAATATATCTGAACTTCAGCAATCCACAACAATAGGTGTTCTCCTTTCTTTTCGGTAAATGTGAAAGGAAGCGTCATCTTTACTTTCTCCCTTCTGACTTCTTTCTTCGAGATTTCTTCTTTCGGGTTGTCCTACGAATCCCCCCCGGTCGAGGTTGCCGCAATCACGACCGCGGCCTGTAGTGATTGATTGATTGATTGATTGATTGATCCCAAAAAAAAAAAGCGTACGAATGCGCGTCTTCTTTTTTTTTTTTTTTTT